CACACACACACACACACACACACACACACACACACCCTTCCAGTGCCTCTCAGGCACAGAGTACGTACAGTGGTTTCCGCCCTTCTGTCCGAATGTGGTTGCCATCAGTGTGATCAACGACAGCCACAGGGGCACAAATATTGGAATGCAAGAGAAAGCATTGTGGCCGTCCAGTTTATGAACCAGCAAGATCTGGAGAAAGAGACACAGTCAGGGTCCTGTCAATGTGTCACTTGGAAAGGGACAAAGTCTGAAGCTGCCCCACTACACACCTCCTCCCTTATTAGGTCTCGGAAGAGGGAGAGTCACATGGCAAGGGCAGAAATGCATGCTTCCTGTGGGGAGCAACCAGGTGCCCGCCTGCCTGCTTGTTCAGGACCAAGCAAAAGTCCATCCACTTGGAAAACTGTCACCACCGGCAGAAATGCATGCTTCCTGTGGGGAGCAACCGGGTGCCCACTGGCCTGCTTGTTCAGGACCAAGCAAAAGTCCATCCACTTGGAAAACTGTCACCACCAGGGGTTTCATGGGAAACATTCCTGGTGTTGGTTGTAAGGAGCCAACTGTGTCCACTGTAGAATTCTCTACAGGACTCCAATACATAGTGATGACTTCAAACTCTCCCTTCCTAAAAGCAGAAGGTGCACACCTCCAGATGCATGGTGGCTGGAGAGGTGCACGGCTCTCTGCCCCGTGCCTAGGAGAAAGAGAGGACCTGGCCATGTCCCTGCCTTTCTCTGCAGACCTCCACGGGGCACGCCGCCATGTCAAGGGCTGGCGGGCTGCCTTTCCAGGTAGGCAGGATGTCGTCATGGGGGAGGGTGGGCTTGGGGGCTGGACAGATTTCCCAGGTGCTTACCTCGAAAGTAAGGAGAGGCACGACGATGGTCATCCAGCTCAGTGCCATGGTGATGTGCGTCCTGCGCTGTTCTGCAATCACATCCATGGAGCGCAGGAACAAGACCGACCACACGATGTAATAGAGGACCACGAGGCACAGAAAGGACATGAGGATCCACAGGGGCACACACACCACCTGCGGGGAGAAGCAGACAGGAGATGACTTTAGAGCTTCTGCCCAACCTCCAGCGGGTGCCACTGTCATCACCCTGCTGGTCTCTCAGTTAAGACAGTGCAAGCCTGACTGAGGACAGTCCCATTGCCCAGCACTGCTGTGAGGGCAGCATGGGAAAGAAACCTGTAGCATGTTCACCACGGGGCCTGCTGCAGGATACACTATGTCCCAGGCGCCTCTTCTTTGGGGGAAGGTGTTGCTTCTGGGCCTTGGCCTCTGGGTTCCTAGTCTTCACTCACAGTGCCCACTCCCTCACTCAGGACTCCTGTGCTCAGTGTCCCAGTCCCTGCTTCCCACTCACTCCCACTTCCCCTCCCTCACACATGCAGTCCGGCCCCTCCTGCCTCTGCGGCAGGACCATGTCCTCCAGCACCTTTAGCCACCTAGGCTTCTAGAGATCCTATACCCCCTCCAAGTTAGTGACCTTGGCAGATTCACGCTGGCTGCATCGCGCTACTCCAACCTTGCCACCATGCCAGGCATGCTCTCTGTCTGCATGTACTGGTCCCAGCAGAATGACATTGCCTCACCCACACTTGAGCCCACAGGAGAAGCCCTGGGGGCGTAGCCTGGCCAGCCTCCCTTGACATCTCCCCACCCTCCTACCCTGACCCCTCAGGCTACTTTTCCCTTGTTCCTTTCTTTCCTTAGGGATCATACAATAGAGCTGATTGGTTTGGGGCATAGACTTAATGATTTCTGACAACTGTACATATCTATAGCTGTAGGTGGCACACATAATAGTACTGTCACCCTATAAAACTTCCTTATGTTGTTCATTTCATTGTTACTTTATCACCCCATCATAACCCTGATCTGTTATTGATCTGTTTTTAGTCACTGTACTTTTGTTTTTGTTTTTCTAAATGAGAATATTATA